TTTTTATTTTTTATTTTTATTTTATTTTATTATTTTTGCTATAGGGCGGGTACACTCGCCAGAGGGACAGAGAGACAGAAAGCAAGAAATCACTCCCCAGGAGGGGGATGGCCATGCCACAATCTCTTCTCCATTCTCCTCTTGGGATCTTGGGCATGCACGCACAATTGCCCAGAGGGAGTTTTAAGCTGCTGAGACTGGGACTTGAATCACTGTCGACTGTGGGAGTCCAGTGACATAACCATTACACCATCAGCTGGTCCCTATCTCCCTATTTTCTGTCTCCTTTCTCTCTGCCAACTGCCTCAATACGTAGAATGAAGTTTAGAATCCACTGATTCCAACATGCCTTCAGGAGACAAGTACAAAGCCTAACCCTGGAGGAAAAAATACAATGCCCAAAAAAGTGTAAGATTTTGAAAATTTATTTTGGCGGTAGAGTTGCCAGATAAAAATATAAGATACCAAGTTAATGATAGAAAAACCAACAAATAATTTTTAGAATACAAATATTACATCTCTAATAAAATTTAGTATTTTATTAATACTAAAAACTTATTTGGGTTGATCTGAAATACAAATATTCCCACTATAATACAAATGTATCCTCTATTTCCCACCTCAATGTGCATTCTTAACTGATAAAAATCTGGAGAAGTGGAATGAATCCTAAAGCTGATGGACAGGAAAAGAAGACTATTATATTAGATTTGTAATGTGATTAATAATACTTATTAAAGCCCCCTAAAAATTCTGGTTGATCTGAAATGGAATTTTATCCTCTATTTTCCCCCTCACTCTAGTAACCTTAACTGACAAAATCTGAAAAATTAGAATGGACCCTAAAGCTGAAGGCCAGAAAAGAAAAAATACTATATTAGACTTGCAATGTAATTAATAATTCATCAATTTGAGTAAACAGGCCAAAAGCATGGATTCAAAATGCTATTCTGAGCATCTGAGAGTGGTTCTAACCAGTGGTTCCCAAAAAAGGAAGTCTCCAAACCAGTAGGAACAGCACCACTTAGGACCTCGTTGACAATGTGAACTCTTAGGATACACCTTAGACCTACTAAATTGGAAACTCTGGGCTGGGATCCCAATACTCTTGAGGAAAAGTCCTTGAATACTGCTGAACGGACTTTTTCCTAGTTTTCTGCAATGAGCCTTTACCAAAGTGACAATGTACAGGGAAAAGAAATCTACTCAATTATTTTAAAGACATTTTTAGAGTAATTTTAGGTTCACAGAAAAATTAAATGGAAAGTATACAGATTTTTCATATTCCCTCTCCTTCCATAGATGCATAGCTTCCTCCATTATCAATACCCCTCACAAGAGAGGTACAACTGTCACCACTGAAGAACTACTGACATTGTTACAACTGACAAACCTGCACTGACACGTCATCATCCAAAGTCCACAGACTACATTACTGTTCATCCTTGGTGTACATTCTACAGACTTGGACATGTACAATGACAAGGATCCCCCATTATAGTATTACACAGAGTATTTTAACTTCCCCACAAATCCTATTCATTCATTTCTTCCTTCCCATCAGCCACAGCTGATCTTTTACCATCTCCATTGTTTTGCCTTTTCCAGAATATCTTTTAGTTGGACTCATACAGTATATACCCTTTTTAGGTTGGTTATTTCATTTAGCAGTATCATTTAAGGCTCGTCCATCCCTTTTTATGGCTGGAGAGCTCATTTGCTTTATGGCAAAGTATTATCTTATTGTTTGGATGTATTACACTTTATTCATTTATCAAAGCATACCTTGGTTGCTTTCGAGTTTTGACAATTATAAATAACACTGCTATAAATCCATGTAAAGATTTTTGTGCATGTCACCTGTAAAATACAGTTTTAATTCTTTATTTATTTTTTTCATTCAACTTGTATGTCTCTCTCTCTCTCTCTTTTATTTTTTTCTTATCTTTTTGCATTAGCTCGGTCTTTCAGTATGAAGCTTAGAAGCAGTGGTGAGATGGGACATCTTTGTGTTGTTACTGTGGGGAAGTGTCTAGCTTCTCATCATTATGTGTGATGTTGGCTGTACGGTTTTTGTAGATATTCTCCCTCATAGACTAAGTTAAGAACATTTCCTCTGCTTCTATCTTTTTGAAGAGACTGTAGAGAATTGGTATAATTTCTCACTTAAATGTTTGGTAGAATTTGCCAGTGAACCAATCTGGGCCTGGTGTGTGTGTGTGTATGTGTTTTAACACTTTAGTTCTTATTTATTTATTTATTTATTTATTTATTTATTTATTTATTTATTTAACGAGGGAGAGAGAGATAGAGAGAGATAGCACCCCAATAAGACCTCAGTATTTCAATCCATGCTCAGCTTTGGCAGATCTGGATCACCCACATGTATATACCCAATGCACTCAGAAAGGTCTCTGAATGTGGGTCTAGAACTGTCCCACTTGGGTCAACCTGGGAGAGTGTCACATTTTATTATACCATCCAGCCCCAGTTTCTCGAATACATATTTTAAAGAAAAGTACTTTGAAATTAGCATAATTCCCACACTGGTTTCTAGATCTCTGCAAAGATACAAGGGTAGCAATTCCATCATATCCTCAGTTAATCTGCATACTTGGTTTGTAAAAACTGAATGAATTTTTTAAATAATTGGCACAGGGTGCATGCACTTACTGGAGAGAGAGAGAGAAAGAAAGAGAGAAAGTGAGATAACACTCCCAGGAGATGGCCATGTCACAATTCCTTCTCCTCCATTCTCCTTTCAGGACTTTTGATACACGCACACACACACACACATACCTGTATGTTTATCAAGTTGCCTGCTCAGTCAAATCATGCAGTCAGGCATGTAAGTTCAAGAGATCATCAGATCTCAAATAAGTGGTTATTTAGAGTACCAAATCATACATGTGGACAAGTGCAGGAACATGCTATTAACAGATACAAGTGTATATAAAAGATAAGCACCCATTCAGGAATGTGGAATTCAGCCACCAACTACCATGCCACCAGCTGGCCCAAAGATGGATAGATTTTAAAGATTGACAGTAAGTGAGTTTAAACTTAACCTGGTGATGTTTCCTACTTGCAGAGATCCAGACATGTCCTCTTTTACCAGAAGAAAATCAATATTGCTCTTAGCACCTGACAGGCAGTTACTGAACTAGAAAATACTTTTATTTCTACCCCAATAAACAAAGAATATCAGTAGCGTACTATCATCTGTCAGGGATGCCAGTACAACTTCACTGTCTTATTTCACAGTTATGAACCTCTGCCTGTTCTAATTCCACTGCAAGTCACTTTGATGATGGCATCAGGCTGACTGTACCTAGTGGGCAAACACTGAAGGTATGCTAGGTATCTCGATAAGTCACATGCTTATGAAAGGGGTTGGAAAGGAGATAAAATCCATGAAAATGTCATTTCCATCTCAATGACATGTCTGATGGTCCAAAAGTCTGGGCATTTCAGAGAAAGCCCCTCCATGTGAAGACAAATTTTGTACCTTGCACCCTCTGTAATTAAAATGGAGTTAAAAGCTTGCTGAACTTCTTTGGTTTTGGAGGCAGTGTATAGACCTTGTCTGTGTGCCGCTCCAAGCAGAGCATCTGATATGGTGTCAGGCATGAGTGGGGCCCAGATCAAGGAAAGATACTGACCCTATTCCAAACTGAAGGCACGGGGGTCTTTGTTCTGGGAGTCTTCATGGTACTCAGAGTCTGCAGATTAAAGTGCTGTCTAGTGTTTCTAGTATACTGCACTACAGATCTCTAGTGCTTTGGAGCAGAGCCATGTCTTCTTCGGATAGCAACTAATCTCCTTTGAAAAAAATCACTCTTGGCTTATTTATAAAGATTTAGATCCTGACCACAGAACATCAAGTGATCATCAGACCTAAAGTAAGTGTTATTTAGTTTACCAAACCATAAAGGTGGATGAGTTCAGGAACAACCTGTTATCAAATACAAGTGTACATAAAGGTAAGCCTCAAGCAGGTTACAAGCAATCAGGCAGGTAGTATGAGCAGATGATTCACATTCCCAGTTCCCATATTGTTTGGTACTGCTATTTCTCCATTTTCCCCTCAAATCACACCTATGACCCCTGAAGAGTTCCCCATGACCAACCGATGGAGGAAGAATAAATTCAAGTTTGATTTAGAGATGGTTCCTCATGCTGATATCAGCTGGAAGAGATCTGTGGAATCCGATCTTCACAAGGGTAACTTTGTATTGTAAGACATATTTTAGCAGTAGAGATCTATTTGATTTTCCACATTGTATCAAAGAAAATGGCAAAGCATGTGAACTACACCAAATTAGGGGTAGCAACTAGTGGTTGGAATGCATGATGAAGGACTTGGAAAAATTAAAATGGAAGGGTTGGTGACAAGGAGATGTAGGGGAAAGGTCATGGATGGACCCCTCAGAATGGATAAAGAAGATGAGCTCATTTTTATTTCATGTGAATCCAAATCAAAGGGCACACACCATGAGAAAGCTCTCAATAAACAGGGAAAGTAAAGAACCCTAAGAAATGGTCATGAGATCAGAAGTAGAGATTATGAACAGGCTGAACAGCATAGACTTCCCCTGACTGAAGCTGACATGCTTACCATAATTTCTGAATCCTCAGTTACCCAAAATCTGAAATCAATGCTGAACTTCCCCCATAGCACCACAGTCCAGAGATCAGTCATGCACCGAGTAACAGATTGATGATTCATTTCTTTTACTAGGGAGGGTAATAGCAATCTGTCTACACTGTAACAGATACCTATCCTAGACATGGATATATCATTTCTGCCCACATTGCTCTGCCAAAGTCACCATCTGTGGACTTGCTCAATATCCTGGTATCCCACATAATATTGCCCCTACCAAGGCACTTGCTTTATTGCACAAGAACTGAGACAATAGACTCACCCCACACCACAGAGTCTGTCAGTCTTAATAGAGATTCCATCAACAAAGATGTGTTTCCAGAGTTCTACCTACCGAGCAAGTTGATAACTCCATCATTGTAGCAAGCAAAAAGTTTGATAAGATCTTTGAAAAGAAGCATAAATGCAGCATTAATGACACCATTTGTTAGCTCATTTGGATGCACCTACAAAAAGACAAAAATATGTAATGTTAGCTTAGATAATCAAATCAGAGGTTTTCTCAAATCATAATAAAATGTCTCAAATGATTACTAAGAAATTCAATCATATTCTATGAATGTTGGGTAATTCTTTAAGTAACCCCATCAATATCAAAAGATGACTTGTGTTCATTTTTGCTTCAATGAAGTTAGTCCTATCAATTAAATATATATGTATGTGTATACATATTTCTTTTAACTCGTGATCCATAGATCAACCAAATACAACTTTTGAACATCTGGTCTTTTGTTGCTTTTACTACGCTATATTACTCTGCTTCCGCTTCTCCCATCTAATGGTCTCTGTGGAAGAGTTCAGGCTCCAGGGCCCTGCAATGACTCAGTGAGGAGGGATAGCATACAGAGTACCTTAGCCAGATACCCTAGAATAATTCTTGAGACTCACAGCCATTCAACCACCCACCAAATACCCTAATCATCAACAAAAGAATAATAATTTCTCCCCACTTCTCAATCTTTATTCACAACACCTCAGACACTGTTCTTTTTCCCTTTATGACTTTTCTATTTTAAGACAGTATCCTTACCAAGGGAAATGAAAGCAAGTTAAAAACAAAAGAATAAAAAGAAAGGGAAAGTTAAAAGAAGCAACTCCATAGATATTTAGTGAAGTCCTTATTATAAAATCTGCCTAAAAACTATAAGATGATTGACTACTTTTACTAAAATTTCACAGGAATTAGGTGTTGTGACTAGAACTCATATAATCTTAAAAAGCCTAAGTTACTAATATTTCAGGAAAACCTTTTAGACAGCACCAAAATATAGCAAAGCTGACAATGTAAGTTAAGAATCTTTTGGTGTGTAAAATATTTTATTTTTACAAATTACACACACACACACACACACACACACACATATATATGTGAGATATTTTTGCTATAGGGCGTGGGTGCTCGCCAGAGAGAGAAAGTGAAAAATTGTCCCCCGGGGGGGTTTCCACACCACAATCCCTTCTCCATTCTTCTCTTAGGATCTTGGGCACACATGCACACCACCTGGTGTGAGTTTTAAGCTACCGGATCCAGGACTCATGTGGGAGTCCAGAGACGTAACCATTACACCATCTGCTGCTGGACCTGATGAATCAGATATTTCTAATTATACATTTTATCTTGAGGTAACTGTATATTTATATTATAATGGTATGTAAGGAAGATCCCACATACCATTATCCAGTTTATCCCAATGGATAAACAATGCAATATCATAACAAGGATGTTGACAATGACACAATCCACTGATATTATTTGGATTTCCCAGGTTTACTTGTGCTAATTTGTGTATATTTAGTTCTATACAATTTTATCGCATATGTAGACTAGTGTATCCACCTCCACAGTCAAGAGACAGATACAGTTTTAAGAGACAAATCATATTGAATTTTTCCAGGAAGGAACAATGTTATCTATGATAAAACAATTCTTGGGACCAGCAGTTGGCGTAATGGCTATGCCGCTGGACTCCCAGTGCAGTCGACTGCAGTTCGAGTCCCGGACCTGGTGGCTTAAAACTCATTCCAGGTGAGTGTGCGTGCGTGCCCAAGATCTCGAGAGGAGAATGGAGGAGAAGGGATTGCGGCGTGGCCATCCCCCCTGGTGGGTGATTTCTCACTTTCTGTAGCTCTGTCTCTCCCTGTCTGTCTGGCAAATACATGTGCCCTATAGCAAAAACCTCTCAAAAAAAAAAAAATTCTTGGTGGATCTTGTTATTTAAGCAGTCCACATAAAATGATTTCTAACTGCCCATCATGTTATTTACCTGCCTGAAGGTATATCTTGCACATACTTCATCCTATCAGGTGTAAGAGGAGGCCACCAGAACAGATTGCAAAGATGTACCATTCACATTTTTCCATGCTTCAAGTGAACACCTAGTAAATTTCTTGGAAAATCTGGGGAACCTAAATCATCTCTACTGAGCTCAACAATCTGAACTAAATATTCATCTAATCATCTAAACGAGAGAGGCAAAGTTTCTTTCTGAGGAAATCTCCAAATTTACCTGTAGCCCACCTTCACATGAAAGACAATATTGATTGTGTAAGAAACATTTTCTGGTGAGATACATACATCAAATTCAAGCAGTGCATCAATTTGTCCCTGCAGTATTGGCATACTCTTTAGTAGCTTTTCAGGAGCCATTGTCCTCATTACACCATCAGCCCTACAATTTTTTAAAAAGAAAAAGATGAACTTTTTGTACATAGAGAATTCAAGACCGTATGCATTCTTTTAGGTCATCCTCCTATTTCCTTGTTAATCTTGTGGGATCATTTTGAGGTAGTAAGTGGTTGTAGCTGTTGCCCCTCCCTGTACTGCTTCCTCTTACCCATTCTTATTCCTCTACCACACAGGCAATGCTTTCTATCTGTACAGTTCTCAGGGAGAAAGTGATGCAGTCTGGATACGAGTTCAGCTGAATTTTTTAAGACATTTTTCTAAATCTATAATAGAAGTGAATGTTAAAAAATATCAGTTATCTAAGAAGCCAGTTTTGTTTTGTTTTGATAAAGAGAGAACATCTTGCAAGTCTGTAAAATCTGTAGGTCTATGGGTGCAGAGTTTATGCCCACAAGGGAACCATTAAATGACCAAAAAATGCATGCTGACATACAGTTTGTCCAAATGGAGATAAGAATTTAACTAACTGCAGAAGAGGAGATGGAACTTCATGGTGCAGGGGGTGTCAGATGGGGTCTGTGCCTGGTCTTCCCTACAGGGAGCCCCTGTAACCACTGATGGTTAAGGAGTGACCTTACTGTAATAGCTAAGGAAAATACTCAGGTGAGATAGGCAGGCTGATAATGGTAATTTTCAGGGCCTCCCATCCCAGAGATGAGGAAAACACCCCATAGTGTCCTCGTATTCATACAATGGTGCAGAAATTTCTAATAAGGTTGTGAACCTATTGTTGAGAGGTCACAGTGCAGCTGGGATCTCAGCAAGGGTTGTCCAGTGCCGTGTAAGAAGTTGGAGGAAGGCGCTTGAACCAGAAAAATCTCAAAGCAGAAAGGAATGAAGGAAAAGACCAATTTTATAAAGTATTCACCTATAAGAAACTAATTTATCTTGAATAGACAAGTTTATGTTTTTCATTTTATACTGTATTTTTCAAGTTTATATTTTTTCAGCATGATGAATACAGTAGCTTAAAACTAAAGCTAGGTCAGCTATTACTGAGAGAGTTGTACCTTTTTGGGTAAATTCTTGAGACTAAGATATTAACCCCTCTACAATAACTTTGCCACTTTTTCAAATTAGAAACAGATTTAAAAAGTTACAGAAACTTTGGCATAACATTTCTGCCTAGATTCAAATATCCATTTAAAGGGAAATGAATGAAAATTATGGATTAAAATAGAAGTGTTCTGTTTCAAAGAGATTTTATGAATAAATTGGTAGCAGTAACAACCATTTTGACTATTGTGTGTGTGTGTGTGTGTGTGTGTGCGTGTGTGTGTGTGTGTGTGTGTGTGTCATTTCTAGGGTAGTATTACCTCTCAAAAACAAATCATGACATACACAAGTTCGGTTTTGCATCAGTTAAAATGCATTTAAATCCTACTGTCATTTACAGCCACTATATTTTGAAATACATCTTGTTTTAATTCTCTTCCTTTTAAATTATTTAAAGGTATTTTATGTGTTTAAGGCTTTTGAATCAATTTTAACAAATAAAATGTTACATCATGTAAACTCTGGGCAGAAAATCATATTCTTACACATGAAGACATACAGAAAATAATACATACTGCACCCTCAAGGCTTGTTTTCACAACATTATTGAGTTTTAATTTTGGGGTGATTATAAATCAGGCATTCATAATCAAAACTACTTGGCATTTAAGTTTAGTTAAAATAAATTAAGTACAGCTCAAGGACTTATTCTACTCAAATAAATATGACAAAAAAACATACCCTTTCTTTACTCTGGCAAAATCAAATGCCATCTGTCTGTAAGAGAAAGCCTTTTCATTCAAGTATCTACTATAGCGCCTTATGAAGGTGGACATATCATAACCTGGGTAGGAGGATAAAGAGAAGATAAAACTAATTAATAAAATACCTTCAACCGTTTTTTGCCTAGGATTTTTTTTTCTTTTTTAAGTTCATTTACTGAGAAAACCAGACAGACAGGTATAGGGACTTCCAACAGGGTCTGTCAGGCTACCATCCTCTCCCCAGCCTTCCAGCCACCAGGATCACGTGTGTCCTGCTGCGTTTAGGCCAACCTAGGATCTGAACACTGGACATTCCCATATGGCTCCAGTATCATGCAGCAGTATCCTACTGCCTGTATCACCACAGCTGGGCCAATGCTAATTGATTTTTAACATGCCAAATAGAGAGAGTTCTAGGTTAAGGTCAATAAGTGCATCAGACAGGATTCATTTAAAATCTTATTCCGGACCAAACCTAGTGACTGAGGCTGAGATCCAACATGGCCAGCTGTGTTGTTTGAGTTCTAGACCTGGTGGCTTAAGAAGCATGCTAGACATATGTGTGTGCATGCGCGAAATCCTGAAAAAAGGGAAAGATAGTAGAGAAGGGAATTTTGGTGTGACCACGCCCTCTTGGGTGGGGGGGTGGGGGGGTGGATTGTGCTTTCTCACTTTCCTTCTCTCTCTCTTTCTCTCTGTTTGTCTCCTACTAGCACATGTTCCCTATAATAAATTAAAAAATAAAAAGTCCTATTCCTAAGCCAAAAGACTTCGGGCATGAAGCATTCCATGACTATTTGATAAGTTACTCTGCCATTTTTATACAGGATATATTTTCTGATTTTTCCTTGCATTCCTGTTCACTGTTTGAAGTGACTATTTCAGACTTAACTTGCAGCCATCTGATAACAACAGTACACTTGCTTGATGTGTTTGTCTTACATTAGTAGATGACCAGTAAAAACGAAGAAGGAATATGAGACTGTAGTTCAAACCATATAATTTCTTTAAGACTCGAGTCTTTTTTTTTAAAGGCATCTTTTATTTCATTATCTTCTGCACATGCACAAACAAGTAACTGTGCATCTAGTTCACCCACTTAAATATTTTAAGAGGTTTTTGCCTTAGAGTGCATGCACTCACTGGAGAGAGAGAGAGAGAGAAAGACAGAGACAGAGAGAGGGAAAGTGAGAAATCACCCCCCAGAGGGATGGCCACACTACAATTCCTTCTCCTCCATTCTCCTCCTGGAATCTTGGGCGTGCATATGCAAGTGCCTGGCATGAATTTTAAGCCATGGAAAGCCTTTTCATTCAAGTATCTACTATAGCGCCTTATGAAGGTGGACATATCATAACCTGGGTAGGAGGATAAAGAGAAGATAAAACTAATTAATAAAATACCTTCAACCGTTTTTTGCCTAGGATTTTTTTTTCTTTTTTAAGTTCATTTACTGAGAAAACCAGACAGACAGGTATAGGGACTTCCAACAGGGTCTGTCAGGCTACCATCCTCTCCCCAGCCTTCCAGCCACCAGGATCACGTGTGTCCTGCTGCGTTTAGGCCAACCTAGGATCTGAACACTGGACATTCCCATATGGCTCCAGTATCATGCAGCAGTATCCTACTGCCTGTATCACCACAGCTGGGCCAATGCTAATTGATTTTTAACATGCCAAATAGAGAGAGTTCTAGGTTAAGGTCAATAAGTGCATCAGACAGGATTCATTTAAAATCTTATTCCGGACCAAACCTAGTGACTGAGGCTGAGATCCAACATGGCCAGCTGTGTTGTTTGAGTTCTAGACCTGGTGGCTTAAGAAGCATGCTAGACATATGTGTGTGCATGCGCGAAATCCTGAAAAAAGGGAAAGATAGTAGAGAAGGGAATTTTGGTGTGACCACGCCCTCTTGGGTGGGGGGGTGGGGGGGTGGATTGTGCTTTCTCACTTTCCTTCTCTCTCTCTTTCTCTCTGTTTGTCTCCTACTAGCACATGTTCCCTATAATAAATTAAAAAATAAAAAGTCCTATTCCTAAGCCAAAAGACTTCGGGCATGAAGCATTCCATGACTATTTGATAAGTTACTCTGCCATTTTTATACAGGATATATTTTCTGATTTTTCCTTGCATTCCTGTTCACTGTTTGAAGTGACTATTTCAGACTTAACTTGCAGCCATCTGATAACAACAGTACACTTGCTTGATGTGTTTGTCTTACATTAGTAGATGACCAGTAAAAACGAAGAAGGAATATGAGACTGTAGTTCAAACCATATAATTTCTTTAAGACTCGAGTCTTTTTTTTTAAAGGCATCTTTTATTTCATTATCTTCTGCACATGCACAAACAAGTAACTGTGCATCTAGTTCACCCACTTAAATATTTTAAGAGGTTTTTGCCTTAGAGTGCATGCACTCACTGGAGAGAGAGAGAGAGAGAAAGACAGAGACAGAGAGAGGGAAAGTGAGAAATCACCCCCCAGAGGGATGGCCACACTACAATTCCTTCTCCTCCATTCTCCTCCTGGAATCTTGGGCGTGCATATGCAAGTGCCTGGCATGAATTTTAAGCCATGAGGTCCAGGACTCAAACCACTGTCAGTCATGTGGGAGTCCAGTGACATAACTGTGATGCCAATGGCTGGTCCCTCACTTTAACTTCTTAATGTAAACAATGAAAATGACAAAAATAAAATTAAAATGTATTTTATATGCTGAGTTAGTTTACAAGTAAAGATCTTAAAGCTATATTTAAACGTAGCCATTTTTATATATTTTTCTTAAATACTCAATGGAGTTATCTGTTGTAATAATTTTGGATTACCAACCTCACTTCAAAAATTAAAGCATTTTCAAAGATTATAAAACTTAAATATTCTCACCATGGGATCCACTTTTGTCCAAAAAATTGCTAAGATTGAATAGTGTATTTCTAGAGGCCAAATACTGAATAAATCTCTGAAAAACAAAAATAAGATTTAAACACACATATTCTCAAATCATACTTTTAAGCAATTTCTGATACTGAAGATATTTTATTTTAACAAATTTTCGTTATGATCTCTTTAACTTAGTTATAAAGCTTCATGGTCTACTGATTTTCTTGGAGGGGGAGAAAAATCTTGGAATAATAATCTTGAATTAGAATTAAGCTGCATGATCTTTTAGCTCCACAAATAACAAAAAAACTGCAATTTAATAGGATTAAGTAGGCATCCTATGTAAATGGGTAATTTTATCAATATTTTCCAAAATTAAACATCTTCTCTGGTGTGTGTGTGTGCATGTGTATGGTATTTTAGACAGGGTATTACTCTGTCATGATCCTCCTGTCTCAGAAACAAAAGCAGCTAGAACTATAGGCACAGGCCACCACACCCAGCTTTTTAGACAGGCAAGAAATAAAACCCAAGCCTTTCATGTGGTCTAAGCCTGCCAATGCATGCTGCCACAGCAGGGCCCAAATGAAACATTTTTTGAATGTAATGCAAGAAGGGGACATGTATTGTAAGAAATATAGTTTTACTGCTCCTTTCTCCTAACATTTTTGCCTACTCGTAGATTTATATGATATATACATTTTAGGAATATGTAATGTTAATAGTAATACTCCTATATCTTTAAGACAATGTGTACTGTAAAATTTAGTTTTCACAAAACTGGTAAATAGAATATTAAAATCGTACTCTCCGTGCTTTTGAACCATAAATTTCTTCTTCTTTTTCTCTTGATTAGTTCAAATTTAAAGGACCTTAAATTATCATCACACTCTTCCATAAAAAAAAGGAAAGTTAAATTTTCTTACTTTACCTCATTCCCATGCACCATGAGATGATGTGTTGTCACCAAAGCCTTAAATACAACCACCCAGCTACTGTTTGTCGCCCGCTCGAAGAGCGTGTCAGCCATCTGAGGAATATTAACATTGGTCTCATTGGTGGCCTGGATCAAATCTATGAAAATAAAAGATATCACGGGTAATTACTTAAAGGATAATTAACAATTACGTACAAAAATTCATTTACTAATATATGACTTCAAAATTACTTTGATAGTAGCTGATAGCAAAATTAAAATAAACTAAACTGTGATATTCTTACCTGTGGACACCTAAAGACATTAGTTACCCAATGTATTTATTTATTCTTATTTACCTGATGTATTTATTTATTCTTAAGCATATTTTGCTACTGAATTTTCTTCTGTACCATCTTCTGAATTTATCTGCTTCCAGGTATCAAGGTCATTTTTTAAATTACAAATTCCAGGAAAGCCAAGCATCATTTTAATCTTCTTTGTTATCATTCCAAGCACACTGTCTCAAATGTGGATACTTATTCTGTGCACCATTTAAAGGCAATTACATAAACATATTTTTAAAAACATGAGAGCTAAAGGCATATTTCACTGGTTTTTAATTTTGAAGGATGCTAATACATTTGTCACTTGAGTGGCAGAATAAGAACAAATAATAAAAGAGAAATGAATCCCACTATGTTCATCTAAGTATTTAGACACCATTAAATTACTATAATTTGACATGGTTTATAAGAGAGCAAGCCTTTCCAATACACTCACTGCCCACAGCTACATCATATTAGTGTGATTCAGTGTATTTCAGGAAAAAAAGATCATGTGGTGGCTAACATGGGTGCTGTGCTTTCAGATAATGCTATTAAAAAGTTAGCCAGTGCAAGTGAGGATCATTGCTAAGGAACAGAAACAAGGCCACACAGGTCACTACAGACTTACATATGCCCAATAGCACAGGATGACCTCTCAAGACCACAGATACGGAATGACTTCCACTACAGGCCACACCTACTGCAGAGAACCACATGATACCCAGTTCTGGGAAATTCTGTCCCACAAATTCAGAGACAAGTCCACACTTTCCTTACTCAAAATACACACTCGGTAATCGTTAAGCATATTTTATATGTCTCTCCACTTAATAATAAATAAGGTCCTAGAATGTTGACATTGCATCATGGAAACAGCTGTTAACTCTTAGACAATAATTCTGAAATATAAATGAACCAAATCAGGTGTATGTCTTACTTTATATGGATTTTAGACCTCGGCCATCATCTCTACCCTGTGAACACTCCTCCCTCAGTGTGTCCCTTTATGGGAATTCTGCTTGCCCTCAGGAATCCTTCACAGTCCCTTTCAAATGCAGCCCCATGTGACCTCCCTTTGCCTTAAAACCTGAAGCACTTTGTTCCTTCTGGGTGCTCAGTTAGATGTGTATTTATTGTAAGTTCCGACTGCAGTAAAGCTTCTTGAAGATGGAAATAATATCTGTTTCCTCTGTAGTGCTTTACAGAGCACAGCACGAGCAATAACCATTTGTTGAGCAAAACAGGTAAAAAAGTATACTTCAAGAAAAATTCTAAAGTTCTTTGTAAAAAAAGAAATCAGTAATATCATAACCTTGTTTTCTGAGACTGTATCATAGGATTACTTTAAACTTCAAATTCTGTGTCAGTTCCAAATTCTATTTGTTTATTTACTGAACTGGACTCAGAAATGCATTTCTAGTCAGAAGATACAGATAAGTTTTCAGAAAATAGAGAAATCTGTATAAGAAATGAGTAAAGAGAAGTTACCTGACAAAGCAAAAACAGTAAATGTCCAGAGCCCAGCTTAGTTCCTGAGTAACCATAGACAAATTTATTTCATCTCTCTAGCTGAGGCCCTTACCTTTTTTTTTTTTTTTTTTTTGAGAGTTTTTTTCTATAGGATGCTATAGGTGTGCTCACCAGAAAGACAGAGAGAGACACAGAGACAGAAAGTAAGTGAAAAATCATTCCTCCCCCCCCCCCAAGAGGGGATGGCCACGCTGCAAGCCCTTCTCCTCCATTCTCCTCTCAGGATCTTGGGCATGCACGTACACGTGCCCGACGTGAGTTTAAGCCACTGGGTCCGGGACTCAAACTGCGGCTACATGGGAGTCCAGCGACATAGCCATTACACCAACTGCTGGTCCCTGAGGCCCTTATCTTTAAAATACAGGTGATAATTATTACCTTTCAGGGCTATTATAAAGATTGTGAACTGTCTGAATAGAAAAGGTACCAAAAAATAAGTGTCCGTAAGTACCATTACACACACACTGCATTCATCATGAGATTACAGTGAGGTGTTAGGAAAGACTCTACACAGAGAGAAAGTTAAATGGGACCCTAAAGTCAGCTATGAGTGTTTATAAGGAATGAAAAGGTGATTCTTAACAGATGTGCAAATTATGGAGCTATAAAAGGTGGGAGGTGAGGTCAGTAGGTGATGTGGTGGTTAAGGTGATGTATTCCCGCATGGCTGAGCACGGTTGAGTACCAGACTAGGCAGCTTTAAAATCATGCCAGGCACATGTGTGTGCTTACCCAAAATCTCAGGAGGAGAATGAAGGAAAAGAATGTGTTATGGCCACTCCCCCAGTGGGTGAGTTCTCATTTTCCCTCTCACTGTATCTTGCTGTGCCTCTCTTTAGAGAGCGCATGTGCCCTATGATAAAAACTTAAAAATAAAATAGAGTCAGGAGGTCTTTGGAGAACTGTGATTATCTGCAGGCTATGTATGTGTGAAGTGGTGAGGAAGGAACTTGGTCTGAAGAGTCTTCAATATGACATTAAAGATTTCAGACTACATTCAATGGACAAAGGGGAGACCCTGGACATTTTTTAGCACAAAACCCACCAATATGGCTTTTATGGGTGGCATATTGGTTAAGGCGCTGGATTCCCTCATGTCTGACCACAGTTTGATTCCTGGACCCAGTGTTTGAAAATCATGCCGGCCACATGTGCATGTGTGTCCAGAATCCTGAGTGGGGAATGGAGAAGAAGGGATTGTGGCATTCCATTCCCCTAGTGGGTACTTTCTTACTTTCCTTCTCTGCCTCTCTCTGGCAAACACACATGCTCAATGGCAAAAATAGAAAAAAAATTAAAAAGATCGGCTTTTACAGTTACTCGCCCATTTTAATTGTCAGAGGGCATCTGCACTGCCAAAATTGGGGAGGGAAGAGAAGGAGAAGGTATTCCCCTGCACTGTGATGTGGCCATGCCTTAATTCCTTTTCTTGCATTTCTTCATCCTGTTGGAATCTGGGGCACACACACATGCATCCAGCGTATTTCTTAAGCTACTAGGGCCAGAATTCAAACCACAGTTGTCCACGTGGGCTCAGAAAACTTCCTTAACCACTAGGGTACAGGCCATCTCTATAGTCAACCACATTATTCAGTGATTACTAAACACTCTTTGCAAGGTATAGAGATGCACAGAATAAGCAATATAACCTCCTTTGCCAAGAAGATATACCAGAAAACAAGAAGACAAGAAAACAGTCCCAGGTGCTTTGGCAAAGCAGTAATACAAGTGCATGTGGCTGACAGGTTCAGATCCTGGGGTTGGCCTGGAAACATGCTGGCATGCATAAAGGCCCAGTACCCTGAGGAGCTGGTGGGTAGGGGGAAGGAGATCATGATGTGAGAAGACCCTGTCAAAAGTGCTTCTCTCACCCACACACATGTGTTCTATATTATTTTTAAAAAATGAAGACAGAAAAGTTAGAAAGCCCCATTGAGTGTCTGAAATGGAGTAAGCCTGAACTGCAAACTAAAATTTTAAACTATAAACACAGTAACTATTTTGGGCATAATAAAATTGGAATAGCTGTCAGGGCTCTAAATTGAGAAGTCTGAGAGGGGAACTGGAAACATGTTCTAAAGCTCAGGAGAAACGTTTGGTCCAGATACAAATTTGGGAGTCATCAACAATTAAATGGGAAGTGAAATCATGGGAAGTGTAAGCAGAAGAGGGAATCTAGAGATCATACCAAGAACAATGAGAATCATGTGTATAAACAACAAATCAGGGGCCAGCCCATGACAAGTGGTTAAGGCAGCTGAGTCTCATATGGCCAACTGCACATGCAGAGTCCTGGACCTTGAGGCCTGGAAAGCAAGCTGGGTACCTGTACATGTGGGTCAAAAATCCTGAAAGAAGGGAAAAATGGAGGAGAAGGGAACCATCCCACTTTCTCACCACCACCCTGTGTCCTTCCAGTGAGCACACTGGGAAGTTAAAAATAAACAAACAAACAAACAAACATAAAACTCAATCAAAGCTTTGATAAGCTACATTTATTTTTCATTATAAAAATAATACCTTGAGATATCTAAGGTGCCGATTAATTACTTGCATAAATTATTTAATGACTGTCTTACTAAAAGAAAGAGAAAGGGGTCCCAGTCACTAGCATGATGGTTAAGGTGTTTGGATCCCACATGGCTGACCACACAGTTTGAATCCTAACCTAGTAGCTTGGAAAACAGGCCAGGCATGTGTGGATACATGCCCAAAATCTCGAAAGGAGGGAGAAACAGAGGAAAGGGATTGCAGTGTGAATATTCCCCCATGGGAGGTGCTTTCTTGCATTCCTTCCTCTCTCTCCTTTTCCCTGTCCCACTCCTCCTCCCTCCTACCCTCTGCAAACTGCACACAGACTCCGGCAAATTAAAAAAGGAAAAAGAAATCAGAGTCAAAGTTAAGAAAGACTAACATTTAAGATATGGGTGGAAGAAAAGTAAGCAAAAGAACAGTCAGAGGGGTATAGAGAAACCTAAAAAAGTAAACTGTGGAAGCCAATTAAGAAAATCTTCAGCGACTAGCAGATGGTGTAATGGTTACATTGCTGGACTCCCAAGTAGTCAACCACAGTTCGCATCCTGAACTTGGTAGCTTACAACTCTTGCCAGGCACATGTGCATACGTGCCCAAGATCCCAAGAGGAGAATGGACTTCTCTCACCCACACACATGTGTTCTATATTATTTTTAAAAAATGAAGACAGAAAAGTTAGAAAGCCCCATTGAGTGTCTGAAATGGAGTAAGCCTGAACTGCAAACTAAAATTTTAAACTATAAACACAGTAACTATTTTGGGCA